GCTAACATATTTTAAAAATAAAAATTTCACAATCTTTCGGGGATATACACAACAACAAAAACACAACCCACAGAGAGAGACCATTGACCGGAAGAAAAAACACGTATTACGTACCAAATACATATCGCATACGGTGTATTATGTACCATCCAACGTACTGGCTAACGCTAGCAAACTTACTATCCAACGCTAGCATGTTTACCAGCTTGCGTATCCGCAAACACTAACGAGCATACCCGCTAACGCCAGCCTGTGCAATTCTCTTATGCAATCCTTTGGCATTCATTAACCTACGCCTATTCTTTTACATTTTGATGGCAAATCGGCCATGTCATTGCTAATAATCTAGTTTTTCACGAGCGCACCAAAGATATTGAACTTGATTGTCATATGTTCGCGATGCTATTAAGATGGTTCCATCAAATTACAGTTTGTTCGAACAACAACAGACATATTCACTAAAGCATTAAAGAGTGTTCTATTTAGGTTTTTCCTTAGCAAATTGAGTATGTGGTGATCTTGATGCTTAAACTTGAGGAGGAATATTGGGCTATATGTTTATAGTCCAAGCCCACATATCTCATATGTAATCAAGCATAGGTATCATGTACTATATATGTATGTATTTTATATTCGAATTCGCTAGCTACTCTTCAAAAAATGTTTGTTTTAATATTATTTCGTAAAAACAAATGTAGCAATAATATCATTAACTACCCCTCAAAATAAAAAATGTTTGTTTTAATATTATTTCGTAAAAACAAATGTAGCAATAATATCATTAACTACCCCTCAAAATAATGCATTTAACCAAACTAAAACTTCTAGGTGTAAAATAAATTATGGATTTCACGAAAATAAATAAATTTCTCATGAAAGCAAGAAAATTAATAAATAAACTTACAAAAGTAAATAAAAAGTTAATTATGTTATAACAAAAAGTAACTTGTTGTGATTATTGCATATTTACAAACAAAAAGTAATTTGTTGTGAATATTACATATTTACATTAGTTTGATTAACTTAATTATGGTGTTTCTTTTTTTTGTCATTGATTAACTTAACTATGGTTAAGACTCTATAGGTTGTAGCTATGAGGTATCTAATCTAATAAAGGTGGGATATTGTGGTCCCGTTATTCTCTCAAGACGGGAGATAGAAATGGTAAATTTCATGTTTTAGAAGCATATGTAATGGAGTATCAAGTATGGATTAATGACTATTCTTTTATATTGAAGTTACTCATTTTAGTATGTGTAAGATAAGGTGTCTGTTTTCACAGTTACTATTTTAACACAGCTAATTAATGCAATCAGCCAAAAGCCCAACAAAAAAAAACAGAGGAACTTTCATATAACAGAAATCTGTAATATTGGTTATGTCTTTTGATAGAATGTGATGTAATTTCTTTTATAAGTACATTATATTAGAATTTTGGTAATGCCAAAATATATGGTACATGATTTAGAATCATACATACTTAACAAATAAAAGTTACTAAATCATTTTTGTCTACATAAATTTAACAGATAAAATTTACTACGGTACATCTTTTCTATTATAAATAGTGGTACCCTATTTACTCAAGTTCTACCAAAACAAATCCTTCTTTCGTTCTAATCAAAATGAAACTCTCTCATGTGTCAGCCATTGTGATCATCATGTTAGTTGTATTTGCCCTCCTTCAAAAGCTAGTGAACTTTGTTATATGTGTATATATATTATAAGAAAAAAATTCAAAGTTCTAATGTGAGACATGCATATATTTGCAGAACCACATATAACTTTGAATTTGAGACATGCATATAATGGTTCAGTCTTGCGGGTAAGCAAAAGCTTGAAATTTGTCCCG